ACAGGGTAAACTAAGACATAGGAAGGTACCTTGATTCTCCTCTTCTTGTAAGTTCAGGTACCAAGATGAAAGCTGTAAACAGGAAACTCCATTTACTTAGAAACCAGAGACCATGATCCTCTCATAAGACTAGATAAACTTAAAGCAGTACATGAAGTAGCCAAGTAGCAGATTTTTATGACAGTTTTATCTCCGTTTTCTAAAATGATCAAAATATTTTCTCATTAAATTAGAAAGCTGCACTGAGAATGTTGATCATCCTGATAGGTTTCAAATTCATAACTTTCTATAGCAGCACGCCAACCACAAGGTTGTAGGTTGCTAGGAGAAAAGGAAGAAGACTTGGAAGCAGGAGAGACTAATGGGCAAAAGCATCAAAATGCAGGATCTGTGGACTCAGAACAGAAAAACATAAAAGAAATGCTTATACAAAAGCTTTGAGCATATAGTTTAACCATGCACATTTTTATGTTCCTGATTCTACAGTGATCACAATCATTTAATTTAAATAAATAGTTTTGACCACAGAGACTTGCAAGCTACATTTCTCAGTTAATGTTTGAATTAGAAAATCATTCTCTCAATTATCAATCTTTTGGATTCCCATTAATACTGTTTTTTTTTTACTTCCCATTGACAAACTTGACAGAAACACAGTAAAATGCCTAACTCATTACTTTCCTAGTGACTCAACATTTAAGCATGAAACTTTGAAACTCTGTTGTGTGAGGAAGGTACAGTATTCAGTCCTTTTGCATCTTTCTTTATGGTACACTATTAGACAGTATCTAATGATGGGAGGATTTGCCATCTTCTTTCAGAAACTGTATTTTCATATTCTTGTATGTTTTATGGAAATTGTCAGTGCTTGCTTTATGTGGGTCAGGCATATCTGGCACAATCTTCTTGGAACTGTCTCTTAAACAAAATGTTAATTGAATCCTGTGTTTTCCACTTCTGCACACAACCAGAGGAGTCTGGGACTGGTTTGCAGATGGGCTCATCATTTATGGGTGCAAGTGAGAACAGAGAAAGTAGTGGGAGAAAAGTGCTATGTGCTCTGAAACCAATCAATTCAATGGTTTGTTTTTATTTTTCTTTTTTTAATCTCTCTTTCTGGCTTCCCCCCCCCCCCCCTCCCCCCACCACTGTAAAATAGGGCTGTTGCAAAAATAAACCTGTTACTAGTTTGTGAGGCACGTACTGTGTGTAGTGGTGAACAGTGCCAAGGGCTCATGAGGAATTACATCTTCATAGGATTTGAACAGAGTGAGGCTAGCAAAACATGCTACCACCCACTCAGGAGGGAGGGACTAAAATACTAACTCATTGTCTATTAAGTGAATCCCATTCATGTTGGGGGTTGATTAACAAGTCACCTGAAAAGAGCCATCATGATTGTTAAAATCTCCATTATAAACTTTGAGGCTCTGATGGATGTATCACAAGTCTTTGCACTGGTATTTTCCAAGCGTTTTGTGGCTGATTTGTAAATCTTAATTATAAATTCATATTATAGATTTTTTTCCTAACAGTTTTGTCTTAGGAAATGTAGATTAAAAAAAAATCTTTAAATATCCACTAGCATCTATTGACAATTTTGTCATGCCAACTCTAAACCAATTTGATATGCGTGTTTCCAAGCAATTTCAAGTAATCAGACCACGTTCTAACACTAACTGTTAACAGTAAAGCATCTTTTTTTTCTTTTTACAATGGAAATATGGAAATAGAATAATTGGGTAAGTACTTTATAACATGCCCTATCTAATCCTTCAGTCTTCTTAATAGGACTATCCACATAACCTTACTTATGCATAGATATACTGCACCATTGGCATGGCAAGATGTTCTTCAGATACATGCAATAAACTCACATTAGTAAAGTAGAATGTATTTATTATTACACAACCATAATCTCTCATTATATAAATCCCACAATATCTAACATTACATTAAAACCAAGAATTCAAGATCCTCCAGCTTTATGTTTAGCTTAGATGTAGAAACAGTAACTAAAACTCCACTGAAAAACAAATCCAGCTGAGCTGAAGAAGGATTCCAGTACAAAAACCATGTACCAAGCTGAGGAGACCAGCTGGGAAAAACCTTAATAAAAAGAAACTAACAAACAAACAAAAAACCCAAATAAGAATCCAACCAAAACTCTTTTGGAGCTACAAGGGTACCAAGTAGATACTAAAAATAAAAAAAAAAATAAAAAAAAAAAAAAAAACCAAAAAAAACAAACAAACAAAAAAAAAAAACTACAAAGCAATTTTCACTTCTACATATATGTCAATAGCAGAAAAAAACATTTATAAAAAGCCTTACGTATACAGAATGAGTGAGACATAACTTTCCCGGGCATTAGAAGATTGTTGGATCATAGAACTTTCAAGCACAGAACTACCATTTTTGCACCACTTGACCACCTCTTGGTATAACGTACAAAGTTCGTAGAGGGAAATGAAAGGTTCTTTGATAAGAAACAGAAGGTCAAATCTTAGACTCTAAAACTATCTAAAACATTTTCATACCTCAAAAGGCATCATTTTCATTATTAATGTTAAGTCACATCTCCTGAAGCAGTTATTTTAAATCTGAAGAAATTTGGGCATATTTCTTCAACAGGATTATGAGCTACTGATGACTAGATGTGTTGTTTCACTAGCAATGAATGAAGAACATGAAATAAATGGATTATGAAAATCAAGAGCAGCAAAAGCAGTAATTGGATACATAATGTCACAGAGTACATACATTCTATCAAGTCAACTCTTATGTACAAATCAAGTGGTGCCACTGAGAATCTACAGATTCTATAGAATCTACAGATCAGTGACACACCTAAATGAAAAGTCCATAGAATGAAACTATATTTATAATAGTTCTTTACCTCTTCCATTCCCTCTTTAAAAACCTTGAAGATATAACTTTAAGGTTGGTATTTTGTCTGTCTTTGTAGTGTATCTGATAACAATGTGAATTGAATCCTAGGATAAGCACCTTCTTGTTGCTCAGAACAACTTCCAGTGTTCATAAAAACTTCAGTATTTTGATTTAAAAATATATCCTAAGTCACTTACCAACTATTCCGCGTGTTTAAATTACATAGCTCTTAAGAAATTAACTGTGCTAACTGACAAAACAATAAGAGAGTCAAGGCGAGAATATATGCTTTCGGGCTCTCTGAAAACATGTAACATACTCAAAGTTACACACCCATACGTTTATCTACAACTGTACTAATCAAAACATATGCACAGTGCTGTCCCTTCATGTAATAAAATATTTAATACTATATGTATTACTTTCAATACGAAAAAAAAGAACTAAAACAAATAATTTTTTTCATTTCTTTTCATGTTTAGAAACAGAACAGTACGTTTCTCTCCCTAGGGAGAAAAATCCAAACAAACAAAAAACAAGGGAAATTAAAATGAAGTAATTTTAACTGTGGGGAGGTAGAGGCAAGCAGAGTAAAAGAAATGAATCATTTTACCCTTAGGACTATCTGTATTGGAGGTTTTCTGAAAGCTCTCTGTTAGCTACATTTCCTTCTTCAAATGATTGTAACTTGTGTTTCAGCTAGGCATGAGGAGGGCAGGGAATGGGAAGGAAAAGCAATTCAGCATGAATGCATTTGTATGAAACACAAGAATCTGGATATGTTTTTCTTGCTCTTACAACCTCTTATGTGTCACTCGGTTGATGACACATGAAATTCTTATAAATCTTATTTTTCTCTGCGGTAGATTTTAACACCGAGTTTCAGGAAAGCGGACGCTTTTACTTTCGAGCTTTCACCTGTCATCCCAGTACCCAGAACAACACCACCTTCCGCTAGCCTTTTAATAAACTTCTGAAAAAGTTGGGTAGGGACGGTCGCCAGCGCGGAGCGCCGGCTTTGAGAGGCGCTTGCTCTCGGGCCAGCCCCACGAACGGGGGCAGCCCAGGAGAGGGGGCGGAGGTGAGGAAAGGGACAGGGACAGGGACAGGGACAGGGACAGGGACAGGGACAGGGACAGGGACAGGGACAGGGACAGGGACAGGGACAGGGACAGGTCAGGGGCAGCCGCAGGCCAGGAGCAGGGGCAAGGCCAGGGGCAGACCAAGGGCAGCATCCCTGGTCCTCCGCACCCTGACCATGAGGCTGGCCGGTCTCTCCTGGGACTCTCGGCAGCCCTCCAGCCGCCCTTCCCTCCGCCTCCAAACGCTGCCAGCTCAAACGGGAGGAATCGTCGCGCCTCCAGACCCTCACCCTCCCGCAACAACGCCAGCACACCGGTCCGGCTGCGCCCCCGCCCCGCCGCGGCCCCCGGGGCCGCGCCGCCCCGCGATGACCCCGCGGGTCCGACCGCGCCCGCCGCGCAGGCGGCGCCGGAGCGGCCGCGCTCCCCTACCTGTGCCCGCCTCCGTCACCTGTTGCCCGGCCGCCTCCATCGGCGCAGCCCCCCGGCGCGTCCCCCCGCTCCGGCGGCGCCAGGGGCTTCTCGGGCTCGCGGGCCACCTCCATCCCGCCGGGCACCGCCTCCTCCTCCTCCTCCTCCAGGGACTCCACGTAGAAGACGGTGCGGGGCGGCGGCGGTCCCGGGCCGTGCCCCGTGGCCGGCCGGACGCCGGCGGACAGCAGCGTCCCGTTGGGCGGGCTGGCCGTGGTGGCCGCCGAGGAGGAGGCGGAGGAGGCGGATTTCTTCCAGAAGACGCCGTTGCCTCTCTCCTGGCTCTTCAGCAGGCGGCTCTGGCTCGGTCCCCAGTGCTCGAAGCTGCTGTCGGGCGGCAGGCAGCCTCCCCCCGCCGGGCCGCCCGCCGGCGAGGGGTGGCTGAACAGTTTCCAGCGGAGGCGCAGGATGTGCTTCACGTCGAAGTCTTTCCTGCCGGAGCCGGACATGGTGCCGCGGCGGGCGGCGGACGGGCGCGGGCTGAGGCGGGACTCACGGCGGCCAGGCAGGGCCAGGCGGCGGCGGCGGCGGCGGCGGCGCGGGGCGGCCCCGCTCCGGCAGCGGCGGCGGCTCCTGCGGGCAGCGCTGGGCTGGTAGGGCGAGGAGTGGCAGCCGCCGGGCGGAGAGAGATGCGCGCACACACCAGCGCGGAGAGAGAGAGGGAGGATGGATGGAGCGATGCACAGAGCCAAAAGGACGTAGAGACACCCAGCAGGAAAGGGAGAAAGAGAGAGGGGAAATGCTCAGAGCTGACGAGAACTGCACGGTGATCAGTGGAAAGGGGAGGAGAGAGAGGCAGAATTGAGGGACATCTCTCAGGGGAGACGGACACTTGCAAGGGAAGAGCGGGTGAGGGAGGCTGCGAAGACGCTCTAATCTGATTAACGGGAGAGCGAGCCCGGAGAGGAGCGGCGGCGGCAGCAGCCACAGCGGGAGGCAGGTGGCACCTCCTCAGTCTCTTAGAGCTCCGTGACCGAGTGCAGACAGAGAAGAAAAAGTCACCTGGAAACCTCTCTCCACCTCCCTCCTTCCCATCCCGTTTGTCTGGGGAGTCCCATGCCTGCCGTTATCTGGGATGGCAAAGCCTGAGAGCTGGCACAGAAAGAAATCGGGGCTCCTTTATATGCACTGTACGTAGGAGGGGGAAAAAAAATCCCCCCCGTGAGGCTGTCAAGGTCCTCAGTATACAATTTTCTGTCTATCTCGGCGCCTCTCACCAAGCCGCCCCCTCCCTTGCGTGTGACGCAGATGTGCTCTGGGGCCGTCAGTGTGAAGAGACAGAGAGAAAAGGAGATGCTTCAAGCTTCGTCATGCAAGTAAGTCGGCAGGTCACTAATTGCCCCTCACAGCCTCCTCTTCTTCTCCCTCCAGTGCAGGTCTCCTCACCTTGGTATTTTGGTTCAGAGGCAGCTGTATATTACTGGAAGCAAAATAAAGTACAACAACAAATGTATGCAGCAGCGGTAAACACATCAATGTGAATAATAGGAGTACAGACTTAATAGACTGCATGCAGACTGGATGAGGTTGCAGGTTAACGATGTATTCTGCAGGTTCCATTCATTAACCTGTTGGCTCAGTGTTGCTGTACCACTAGAAAACCTTGGCTAGTGGTACAGTGTGTCAAAACAGAAATAGCACAACATATCTACTTACCTTTCATACCTGCTCTTAATGCAGTTTGACAGTGATAAACCCAAGGGAGGTTCCTTTCACAACATAAGAGATCTGCTTAGGAACATCTGCCCACTTGGGAGGCATGTCACAGAGTACACTGCATCGGAGACATAATTACAGAATTAAAAGCTTTATGGTGAAATGTAGAAGGGGGGCATGGCAGTAAAATTGCATATTGCCACCTGGCAATACACAGAATACCTGTAATTCACCTTTATGTTACAAAGTAATGTTTTAGAAGATTTATCCCAGGGAAAATGATGTATTTTCAACCAAGAATCTTTGCATTGGCCAGCTTTACCCATGCACTCATGAGCTCTCAAAAGTTTGTTGTTCTAACACTGTGAAATCAAGAAAAAAGGTTGAAGGACTTATTTCCCTCAAGCTGGATTTTTTTTTTAACTTCTCATTCATTAAGTATTATAGCTTGAAAATTCCTCCAGGGAAGCACACAAATCAAATATAAATTAAAAATTTTATTACTGTTATATTTACTTCATGACTGAAGCATTACTGTTTTGTTTAGTTTGTCAGTGGAGTAGTGCCTCTGGATAAAAACTGATATTAGGGTTCGTGTTTAACACTGATAAAGTCTTGGATTTAACAGTACAAGAATTCAGGGCACCAAGTCCTACTTTAAAAGGAAGAAAAAATTCCACTGTGCATTTTAAATATTGTTTCATGCCACAACAGCTGGACTGAAAACTCCCTGGTGCGTCACCTTTTGTTCTCAGTATTCAGTGATAAAAAAGAGACAAAAACTATTCTAAATCAAACAGAAGATACTGTTCATTTTTATCCAGGAACTGATCTGAGTATGTGCTGCTTAGGAGAGCAGCGGGAAGAAATGCCTAGAAATCTTCATCTAGAATAGGACAGATGTAGGGCAATATTTTCTGACAGTCTAGAAATGCATCCCTTATGATGAAATACATGAAATAATCTATAGTGAAAACTGGCTACTTAGTGTCTACTTACATGCTCTAAAAGATGGGGATGTCTTCATTGAAATACTTTTAATCAATTCATATATAGATAGACAGAATGCTATGTCTTCTGTGTGTAATACCTCTTAACTGATTAGGCCTATTCAGATATTCTGATTTGAGGAGAATTGCATCATTTCTTGCCATGTTAGAAATCTTAGTAATTTTTAAATCTGCATAAATATTTAATTTGATAATTTGATGTGAACCATTGATAAGTTAGACATTTATTTCACCTAAATAGATAAATATAAATGACAGTACATTCCAACAAAGTATATTTTCTAAATATACTTGGGAGGTCACTCAATGAATATATATTATAGTACAACCCAAGGAAGTGATTTAGATTTTTTTATCACCTGTCCATGCAGTACAAACTATCAAGCAATTAAAAGGAAAAGAGGTAGAAAATACTTTAGGTTATTTGTTATTCATATGTTTTTATTTCAGTTATGTCAGTAACTGAAATAAAGTCTTGGATGTTTTTTTAATAACTAAAATCTCAGCTTTTCAATATATCATGTGTAGGCATTGACATACTTCTTAACATTACTTGATCTTTTCATATTTAGTACATAATTTTTTGCAGTAAAAGATGCATTAATTTGGCATGTATGCCTGTTTTTTTCTGGCATGAAGATGTATGAACACTTGAGTATCATAAAATGAAATCTGGAAAATTGTTTTGATTATCTTAGTTCATATCATGGTCACAATTATTTTGTCACTGTACAGTAAACAAGAGCTACCTCCAAAAACGCTATATTGAAGAAGCAGTCATTGTCACTATATATATTTAATTAATAAATTGGTTTCCTGAGCATGAAGTAAAAGAATTAAACAGGTTGGTTTAGTTAGGTTTTCACAGAACCTTATCTTCATATTTCACAATTAATGCCAGGGAGGAAAAGAACATATTCTAGATTATCACATGAGAGAAACACAGAATGTGTTTGAGTTTCAGTTGAAACTTCTGGTACATAAAAATATTAACTAAACTCTGTAATTTGTCTAGGTTTGCTTCTCTATCCAGAAGAAGAAAAAATACTTCCCCTATTGGTGTTCTAGGGACCTTACTCCTAGGAATTACACTAAAATAATTAGCTTACTAGTCAAATATGTCTTTGTCTACTCATATGGGATTGACATAGACATATGAACAGAACTATGAAATTACACTTGTGTTTTTGGTTGTCAAAGAGAAATATTTAGATGTCTTGCAGTCTTCCATCTGTATTTTATGTGTTCCATGAAGTATAGCCAAAATAATAATGATCACAGGTAAACTTTCCTGTCTGTTGGTTGCACACTGTGCATCACATTGTATTTTTGTTTATTAAACATCATTTCTCACCTTCCACCCCCAATGTAGTTTCCCTGGATTATTCATTGCCACTCAAATCTTGAATAATTTTACAGACTTTACTTGAAAGTATTCATGACTCTTTTTTCTTTATCTATTAGTCAGGCAAACAGATGAAAGTGGTTAATCTTTATGTTCCTGTTATGAGTCAGATTCTTGACACTTTGTATTTTTGCCTTTCTAATGCTCTTCAAATGAAATAAATTCACATAGTCATGTCTCTGAGGAAGTCGCATGCTCATGTTTTATAGAAAAAATGGCCTAGGGATATATATCCTTTTAATAAATCTTTCAAGTAGTAAAAAGCACTTACAAAGAAAAAAAGCTTGAAGTAGGTATCCAAAAGAGTAAGATTTTATTAACCGTCTTTTCTCCTTCTTTCCATTGCAAAGGTTTGGAGTACTGTTTATTTTTAGGCACATGATTTATGTCGAGCTATTTGCATGTTGCACCCCAGGGAGAACTGGTGGATTAGGACTGAAGTTGAGTTTTAGTTGGTTGTTGATTGATAAAACAAGCAACAGAGGAGCCATCATGCAAAGAAACCCCTTAGGGTTAAGAGTAGTCTTAGTCTGTGTGAGTCTCTGCATCACATAAAGTCAAAAGATACAGCAAGTTAGTCTGAGAGTGATGAGCTTATATGTGTACTGGGGAATGGTAGCTACTAATAAAGAGAAGGGATATACCTCTCAGCAAACTATAAGCATAAGGCATGCTTTTGTTACTGAATTTTATCCTTTCACATAATTTAATCCAGATGATACTAAAAGAATAAGCAAAAAAAAAAAAAAAAAAAAAAAAAAAAAAAAAAAAAAAAAAAAAAAAAAAAAAAAAAAAAAAAAAAAGAGAGAGAGAGCACTGTGCTTTGGATAAGTATGATACTACTAGAATGAATAGTTTTACGATTCTCACTTCAGTGTGGGAGTTCTCACACGAATGAATGAACATGCACTTCAGCTATAAAAATGCTTATTTTGTGGGTGGTTAATTATACATTCAGAAGCCAGAGAGTGTTAAAAATGCTGTGAAACAGAACTATAGAATACTCAAGCTAAAGAAAGTGGAGAAAGAAATTGATGGAATGGGAGATCCATTGAGAGATCAAAACTCAGTTCAGAAAATGCTAGTGTGCTAAGTGATTCAAACAAATAAGTAATGCTTTAGAATTATTATTTTAACTTTTGGTGTGTACAAAGCCTTTGAACAATTTTTGTGATATGTAGATATATTCTGCATCTATTTTGATAAGTAAACTGAGAAACACTGGGAATAGATGGTAGTAGGAAGAAATTAAACTCTTATGTTGTTTATGGTATATACGCATAGTGCTGTGGTATTCCTCTGAGTCAAGTTGTTAATTTTCCTCCCATAATAGTATGAAAAGTCATATTTAAAATACTATAGATATGCCTACACTTATTTACTATGATTGCTTTCTAATGGCCAGAAAAGAATAACAAAACCAGACAAAAAGTTAACCAGAGCTGATTCACTTACCAGTAGTTGTGTATGTTTTTTGTAGTGAGTTTTCAACTGACATTGAACTTTTGTGAATGATTTTGCCTTCAATAAGTTCAACAGTTAAATAGTGTGATTTCTCAGAATTAAAAGTGAGCTAGCACAGCACAGGATAGGTTTCTGAAAGTGTGGTGACATGACCAACTGCATTTATTTCAGTGATAAAAAAATTGCTTGTCCACAGTTGTTGATTAGTGTCTCCTTAGTAATGCCGGATTAAAAATTATATATGAATTACCTTTAGTGGTGATTTGAACAGATACATTTTATTTGGCATTGCAGGAGCCTTAAAGAGCAGTTGCTTATCTTGTATAAGTTTGAGGGGTAGACATTTCTTAATCCATTTCATCAGGATCACAAACAGTTGTATAAACACACCCTAAAGCAGTTTTTAAATGGTCAGAGAATTTCACTTAAGAAGTGCAAATGATACAGGGTATGTTGCGGGTAAAGATTCACAAGTAAACTAAGACTAGAGAAAATGAAATTGTGACACTATTTGGAAAAAGTAAGGAAGTTAAAGAATGTTAAGATTTTTGAATTCTTAAACCATTTCACACAATTTCTCTGTTTGTAACAGTTGTCAGTTCTCTTGTGAAATACATAGTTTTTACCCACATTTCCCAAGCTGCCTATAAATGACCCTTATTTGAAGAAAATGCCATGCCTTCTCTCCTAAGTTATGGTCAAGAGAAACAACTGAACTCCATCTGCTACAGGTTTGGCTGAGCACACGCCTTTCTGCTCCTATGCCGTACTCCACCTAATAGCCTTAGGAGGCCAGTCATCCATACCAGTTGCTGATTCACATAGATGCTATTACTATATATTTTGAATGCTAGAATATCTTATAAAAATCACTATGTTGTTTTGTTTTGATCTAAAACTAACACTTCTAGTGGTGTTTTTATGAATGACATCAATCTCTGGTGTTGCAAAGAAAATAGGGTGTTTTTTCGTCTCTAGATTCAATAATAGTTGCTGACATTGTTCTATGATTCAGAATCTTCTTAGAACCTGTTTGCTTTCATTTTCTGTTCAAAAATATGCAGTTTCCTGCTGATCTTTTATTCAATGTTTATTTTTAATCTGAACTGAAAACTTTCAAATGTATGTTGGCAAATCACAGTAATAGAGACGGTTTGCAAAATAGACTCTATAAAAAGGGAACTGCTAGTATTTTGCAACTACTCATGTAGTAGTAAATTATATTGGACTTAATTAAATTAAACAGAGACTATGTAACTGGCATAAGATGGTCAATACTGATAAAGCATCACAGTCTTAAAATGGTTTTTGGTTGTACAAACGAGCAGCTTTCAACCTCATTCAGAAGTTAGCATAATTCAGGGAACATACTCAATAGGCACTTTGAATACAGCCAGCATTTTGGACAAAAAGAGCATTTAGCCATATGGAGGTAAATGGTGCCATGCCATTTGGCCTGGGTCCAGCAGCTGAACAGAGCAGAGAACAGGCACAGGGAAATTTTGTTTACTGTTCTAGACATGACCTTACAATGCATATATTTCAGCTTACAGGTTCTTTTGAAGTTAAAAAAAATTATGATTTTGGGGGAATTTTGCCATTGAAAACCTTTTATAAGATATTTTGTAATGATCCTCTGTGAACAAGTTGTTTTAAAAGAAACTTTGGAGTTTATTTAAATAAATCTGACTTATGATTTTCTTTGTTGTTTTATTTTATAGGGAAATATAATATACACATAGTAACAAGAAAAGCATTTCCCTATTTTCCCCATCTCTCATGGTATGTAAGACCCCTCACAGGAGTATATTCTTTCACCTGACTTATTTATTTGCTTCAAACTTTTAGTACCTTATACTTCCTGTGTTTTCTGGTCTCAGTAGACAGATTCCCAGACTCTGAAAAATTGTATATTTTTAGATTAGGAAGCTACTGTTTTTTTCTCCATGATATTAAACTTTCCAGTTGAAGTTGAGATATTTGTTGTTGTATCAAGTGCCTTGTTGTCACATGAGTAGGAGTAGTTTAAAATTGTATATTGTCTAGTTAAAGATTTTTTTCTGTTGTTTTCCAGGAATGGACAACTTCTGACTTCTGACTTCTGACTTCTGACTTCATTCTCTTTCTGGAAATCCTAACAAGAAAATACATGTAGTTTTTCTCTTGGGGATTTCTGACTGCCATTTTAATTTTAAAGTAACTTTAATGACAATGAAATCTTTATTTACAATGCATTTCATTCTTTCACATCTATCACAATCAGATAATGCATTAAAAAGAAGCAAGCAAAAGTTACATTTTTTTTTTCAGAAATATATAATTTCTTTAAAAGAATTCTTCAGCACGGAATGCAGCTCTTGTCACTTCTCCTGTCCTTCCTTTTGAAAAGTAAAGATGCGTCTTTGTCTATGATTATGTGTACAAATGGTCTTTCGATTGTTTACATTCAGTGTCTGACCAAATTAAAAAACTCAAATATTTGAGAATGGTTTTTTTAATCCACCTATTCACACTTTCATTTGAACTGAGTGTCCCAAAGTGTATACTGCTGGGGCTTTTTCCATTGGAAAAAAAAAATGCTGTGTGGTTTAGATTAGAGTATCATAATTGTAGGAACAGCTTGATAGTTTTCCATCCAAATGTCATGACACTTAGAGTAATAACTGTTAACACAACTTATTCTTGAAGATGACTAGTGACCGATTTGCAAAAAGGAGCCAGAAGTGATTTAGCTGTTAAACATTGCAGATGAACAAGAGTGAAAATCTTTCCCTTGTCTGAATTGGAGAGAGATGGATTTGACAGGTGGACTGTTAGGTGAATGAGGAGTCAGTGGGAAAGTTGCATCCAGACAGAAGTGGTTAATGACTGGGAGTCCCTGTGGACATCAGAGATGAATGGTATCCCTCAAGAGTCCATACTGGGACCAGTGTTATTTAATACTTTAATCACTGACTTAGGCAGTGAGATCAGGTTCACCCTCAGCAAATTTACAGGTGACACTAAGCTGAGGGGTGCTGTTGATGCACCTGAAGGAGGGGATGCCATCCAGAGGAACCAGGACAAGCTTGAAAAGTGGGCCTATGAGAATGTCATAAAGTTCAATAAGATCAAGTGCAAGGCGCTGCAGCTGAGTCGGGTAAATCCCCAGTATCAGTGAGGGCTGGGGTGAACTGATGGAGAGCAGCCCTGTAAGAAGGACTTGGGGGTGGTGGTGGTGGATGAGATATGATAAATGAACCAACAACAACCACTTGGACCAGAAAGCTATAGATACCCTGGTCTGCATTAAAGGCAAGTCAAGAGAGGTGATTTCTTGCCTTCTACTCCTCTCTGGTGCCTGGAGTGCTGCATCCAGCTCTGCAGTCCCCAGTACAGGAAAGAGTTTGACCCAGCAGAGTGAATCCAGAGAGTCACCTGTGGATGCAAGAAGAGAGCCAAGATGATTAGAGAGATGGAGCATTTCTCCTACAAGGAAGGGCTGAGAGAACTTAGTTTGTTCAGTCTAGAAGAGAGAAGAATTTGGGGTGACCTAATTGTGGTCTTCCAATACCAGAACTGAGCATACAAGAAAGATGGAGGGAGACTTTTTGCAAGAGCATGTAGTGACAAGACGAGGAGGGAATGGGTTCAAACTGAAATAGGGAAGGTTTAATTAGGTATTCAATTTTTATTTTTTTTTTTTGCTGAGAGGGTGGCAAGGCACTAGAGCAGCTTGGCCAGAGGTGTTGTGAATGCTCTGTTCTTGCAAGTGTGGATAGAGCTCTGAGACACCGGTATAATGAAATGTTCCCCGCCCATGGCAAGTAGATTAGGAAAAGATAATCATCCATTCCAACCAAAACCATTCTATGGCTCTATGTGGATTTCAAGTTCAATAATTATTTGAAATTTATCTTCAGATTATTAATATTGGTATAATTTATATTTTTTTAAAGGAATAACATCCTCAAAAAAAAAAGAAATAAATTTCTCATTGTTAAATATGCTTTTTTTATTAGTGAATTTATATCTTTATACCTTTAACGATAGCTGTTCACTGATATCTGACTCTGAAAGCACCTAACATTTAATCATAAATTAAATCTTTTTGTTAAGTAGATTGTATGTCATTCTCAAATAAACTGGCTTTTATGCCTCTTGATATGTATTTAGTAAAATGTGTATCAAAATCAAAATTGAATTTTAGATCTATTTTAAACTTTGTTGAACACCACTTATCTCTTGGCAATAGAAAAACACATTCCTTTTAATTGGAAATTTATGTGAAATACTGTCCTGATTAAATTTAAATTAGTATTCATTAACATTTGACAGTAAACAGTTCTTGGAAAATATCACAGTATAGCATCTATTTTTATTAACCTAAATTGTATGGGAAGTAATAGTATGTTGTATTTGCCTCATGTTTTCCATGTCAATACAATTGATATGGAAAACACTGAGGACACAAAAAAGAAATTTTATAAGCCTTAGTACTGCAGCTACCTCAGATGTGCAAATCCAGCAAGTTTTAAGGTTAAATTACCATCTTAGTTACATCTACAGTATATATAAAGGTATCATATGATTGAAAATATGAAGAATCCTGATGACCAGGAAACCTAAAGACAATAGAAATATAAAATAACACCTAAAAAAGGTATTTAACTGAAAGTGTTGTCTACAAGTGAAAGTGTTGTATTTGAGGTAGGTCTAGATGGGTATGAGTTAGGCATCTTCATGAGAGAATTACAGAGCTGAAAGTCCCACCATAAGTTTTGATCAAATTACAGTAGACTTAATGGTGCAACATCTTTTATAAACTGGGTCATAAACTATCTAGGATATTTCCTTTGGTAAGAATAAAAATGCAAAACACAAAATTTGATGGAATATACTGAAAGAAATAAAATATCAATATTTACATTTCAGCCTATGTCTTTTTTTATTGATTTATGGGTTTTTCCACATATTTTTTTTTTTTCCTTTCCAGAAATGTAAGCTAGAATGTTGTGCCAGGCACTTCTGCAAGGAGAAGAAATAATTTGTGGAGCATTGCCTGCTTCTGAGTTCCAAAGTCACTGCCACCATTCCTACGCTCATCCATATCTCCACCAGCTGACTGTAGAGTGATGTTGAGGCTGTAATTTCCATGGCATTTTAACACCAGAAAGGACTATTTCAAAGATACATTTGAAAACTGTATCTGAATGTCAGAGTTGTTGAAATACAACAATTTTAATGAATATGACTCATGCCAACTTGGAAAAAGAAACCAATAATGAACAACTAAGTGAGGGCTTTGTGTACATATTTAAAATTGAAATCATACCAGATTATACTGTTTTGTTTTTTAAATCTGCCTGCATATGAACTCTTCCTTCTTCATCTCTTAAAATAATTAAATAGCCTCCTATAATTTGGCCACATAGTAATCCTTTTTCCATCTGGCCTGTACCGTATGAAATTTGAAATACTTCATGGTTTGATAAGCTTGCTTTTTTATTGAATACACTAAAGTGCTCTAGAAAAAGATCCTTATTGGAATTCGTAATGTTGCAAATGAAGGATAAATCTATAGAAAGTGAGATGGGAGCTTTCATTTCTTTAGATCCATATTTAATTGCTTCTGATCAAGAAAAGAGATTATCATTACTGGGCTAAACTTCTGCTGATTCCTTCTGAAAGTTTATGGTTTTCCTGCTCAGAATTCATCATGTGTTTCTCCTTATATGGAGCAAGAAGTATAAATCTAAGATAAATGAAGTGAAAATTATTTTAGTTTAATAAAAATTTATGAAAAGGTAATTTTGCAAAGAACATATAAGATTTAGAGATGGATGAGCAGAAGGACTGCACAATTAGATTCTGTTGAAATTTACTTAATAATAAAGGCAATACATATTTAGTCTTCTTGAAGCAATGGATTCTTTAACATGTAGCACTCGATTCTCAGCTCAGTAAATTACATTTTTTTCAGTTTATTTTTATTTTGTTAAAAGCAGTGAATTTGTTAAAAGGCAGTGAATATTTAAAGTTCTCCATTTGATCATAAAGGCTTCATGGAAAAAAAAGCAAACTGAATAAGGAATTTAACAAATACCTCTGAAAAGTATTTTCTTTCTTCTCCCTAGTGCATGTTTTATGTACTTAAGTTTTATAGCTTTCTCACTGACCCCATTTAAGAGAGTTGCAGTCCAGAAATGTGTATGTGTATGCATGCATTGCCAAATATTGAGTAGGTGTCATTTAATCACAACAAATTCAATATACTAATTCAAGTTCTTCCTCAGGTACAGGAAACCAAATGTCTCAGATCTCAGGAAAAATTTTCCTAGCAGTTTAATCTATCCCAGGTGTGTGCACAATATTTGTTGTCTACCTTTTGCTTTTTTCCCATCTCCATAGTTTCATAAGTCAAAAAGAGAAGAATTCTGGTACTATTAAAAGTACAAATTGTTAATTGCACTTAGACAAATCCTAAACTATGAATACCAGCAATTAAAAAGAAAATTTAAGAAAAGTATTACTTTGACCTCTCCAAATTAATAAATGTTGACATCATATTTCCAGTGGATCCAGTATTCTTATTTCAAATTATATCTGCAGCTGAAAGATCCAAAGTATGAATTGCATGAGTTGTGCGGAAACATTTTTGTCAAAATTTTGTTCTTGGTAGAAGTGATGGGCAGATGTGGAGGCTGTCAGGAAAATGACCCCATGTGGAGACACTGTTGATTTTCTTTTCCAGGTGTGCTCCTCTAAAGTGTCTTTCCTGCAGGGCTGACTCATTATGCTCAGAGGAACAGGTTTTGTCTACAGTCCTGATTTAGACTACAATGGACCGCCCAGAAGGTACACCCAGGCAGCACAAATTTCAAGATTAACATACCTTATTGCTGCTTTTCCTTTATCTTGACTCTCTTTTTGCCACCTCTTTTTCTATGCCCCAATCTCCGCCTAACTGACGTCAATTATTTCTTCCCTACTGATCCCTTTTTTGCTGCATCCTTATCCCAATTATTTATTTCTGTGACCATTTCTTATGTTATCTCAGACTCAGTGTAGGTCATTGTTGACGTAGTTACCTTGTCACTGCTTGCCTATGACAAACTGCCATCCTGAAGATCCCAAGTTATCCCTCCAATTAGCTGTGAAGTTTGGCCATTTTTTGGATAATTGTGCCTTAACCAGCTCTGCACCCATGCCATGCCTCATGGTACTCTCTAATTCATTTTAGCTTCTCATACTGTTATCTTTCACATCCAGCCATTTCCCATGCCATGCCGTGTCCAGCTCAGTTAACTTTATCTCAGGGCATGGTCATAGCCAACAACATAGTCATGGGCTTGCAGCCCTGACAAGACTCCACCCTTTATGTAAGCTCACAGCTGTTGAAAGCCAATCTTCATGTCTATGGACACTTAAGTACATTTTTTTTACTATACTATTAACACAGGCAACTAAGGGGACTAAAATGACAATGATAGAAGTACAATTTTGTATGGTAGAGATAAGAGATAAATGCTCCTCACTTCTGTGCCTCTCTTTAACTGACCAAAGTTAGTATTTGGCATTGAGATATGTCAAATAACTATTAGAATCATCTGGCTTTGATTCCTTTTCTCAAACACTCTAGCCTTCCATAAAAGTTTATTTTTATGCTATTACCATATTTATGCATCATCATTTTATGCCATGTTTTACTTGTTGCTTGTTTCTTTATCAACTTTGACATCATCTCACTGAAATTACCCATACTGTAAAAACATACTTTAACATCTCTTATTAGAAAAAAAATTCTCTTCTAGATTTCTAGGTTTCATTTAAATGATTCTTACGAAGTTTGAACAAGGAAAAAAGTTACAAAGCTGTGGCTGAGAATTTTGCAGTCCATTGTATTTATCTTTTCTGTATGAAGATTTGTCATCAAGTATGAGAATGAAAGATTTTAGCTAATTAAAAAATACTCTAGATTTGTGAACACTGCAAACACAATATAATATTTCATTATGTTAAAATGTTATTAAAAGCAAACTGTGATTTAAGAAGTTAATTAAAAAATGCACTCAAAGTCAATTCTGCTTTCAGAGGTATTGATTGTTCCTTCAGTACTCTTCATTTTAGCTATAAAGAAAATTGCCACCAATTGCTGGAGTTTTACTTTGAAAACTTAAAATTATTATCTCTATTTTAGATATTTATTGCATTTTATTATTTATTTATGGAAGAAAATGTAGCTGAAGCATACCTATTAGTTATTACAATTTTGTACATTAAACTCCACAAGATATTTATCTATTTTCCTAGTGTGGAAATAGACATTAGTGAATCTGGTTTCCCATACACATATTGTCTGGAACTTGATCCTTCTCTGAATATTTCTTACAATTAAAGTGTTTTTGATAGAGATCAAAATAGAGGAAGTTTATAATCTCTAGTTCCCCTGTACTGTCTTCAGGTCTTTTTTCAAATGTCATTTAGGTTCCAAGGCAGATTTTAGATGATAGTTCTGTGGCCAGAAGACAGAAATTGGTAAGAACATAGGATAGAGAAAGTGTAGGGTCATGCAAGTTGTAACTGAGTTCCAGACTGTGCACACTAAAAATCTATTGTGCTCAGATATCACGTGGTTTTGAAACTTAAATCTGTGCTTTGCTTTATAGTCAATGGAAAGATCTGGCACCATCAGTTGCCTTGCCATTCAAAGTGACATGATAGATATAACACAGTCCCTGTGTCCTCCTTCTCCCCTTCAAATTACAGCTGCGTGAGGCATCTTCTACTGACAATATTTTTTATATTTGGCATATTTCATTTACTAGTGCCTATTTGTTAGGAATTTTTTCACATACTGTTTAGGCATTTTTTACTATGGTGTATGTAGAAGTCTCTGATTTGTCTGTGCATTGTGTTTGTGTTTAAACAACAGAAATTCTTAAATGTCCTATTCTTAACCAAGTGTATTATATGGACAGATAGAAATATGATGTTTGAGTCTCAGATGCGCTTGAAAGTTGGATGGCACTGCAGCCACTAATTTCTCTTGTCAGTACTTCACTTGTAATTTAATAAACTGTTTATTTGGATTTATATAGATGCTAGAAAGAATAATTGGTCAAAAAATTCAAAATCAATGAAGTTAGTGTCCAACAGAAAAAACTGAAGCACAGACTAACCTCATTAGACTTCCGTGTCATATTATTCCTCTTTGATAGAAAGCTACCTGTGTGGATAAAAGTCTAACTTGGTAACGTGCCCTGAAATGCATCGTGTATGGAATAGTTTTGGCCAGGTGCAATTGAGAAGTAAAAGTCTTCTATGACTGAAAGTGATGCTACAGAAATGGCCATGTAAATGATGAGAGGAAGAATGGTTAAGAAGGGAAATTAAAACCAAAACAAAAAATGAGCAAATAAACCCTCCTTCTGAACTTGATTTGGCAATTTCTATGTTCCTTCTGTTGTTCTAAAAGTTTTTTGATCTTCATGCACTTTTTGGCAACAGTATTCTGGCAATATGATGGAAGGAACTGGGAGAAACTAAGGTGTCAGAAGACATGACAGAAGAAACCTTTTCATAAAACATATGTCTTCTGTTAGATCTGAGCATGAGTTCACTGATAAAGATCTATAGAATATTTCTTCCTCCTATTTTAATGTAATTTGTATAGTTTAATTAACATTTAAAAAATATATGCAGAAGGTTTTGGAAGTATTTTTCAGGATTTCATTTTCATTGAAAACAGAGAATAATTGCAATGTGTTAGCCTAGCATTTAATAAGATAATTCAGAATCATAAAAAAAAATGGAATTATGTTTTTTTTTAATTCTTGTTTAAGCTGCCCAAATATACTCTGCTTGTGTAGAAATTTGAATAACACAACATATAATAAAAACAATACATTTTTTTCTGTCATACAAACATTTCTCATTATGATCCTCAAATATAATTTATCCAGAGCTGTATAGTCCAGAAAACTCAAGACTGCCTTCTGAGGTCTCTAAGAGCTCAAATCCCTTTTCTTGCTTCCATCTAGATAAGTCATATTTGTTAGGTATCCCTTCTCACTTGCACCAGACTGCTTGGGCAGATAAGGAATTATTTTTACTTGATTGTTTGGTTTGCATTTTGTTTGTTTGCTTACTTTTGCAGAAGCAATTATAGCTGTGTACTCCAAAATATGTCAATCCAATTTAATGACAAAAACTGGTTCAATTATGTTAAAAGCAAAATCTCTTCTCTTGTAGCTCCAAAATTGTTTCATGTAATTACTCTCTATATACTTTGTTTATGAATTGCTCATTTGGAAACAGCAAAAAGATAGTATTTACAAAATATTGCTATAACAAACATTTTTCCAGTATGATTAACATACTCCATTAATAGAAATAAACAAACAGTGTGTTTTGTGAAATTAATTTGAGTTTAAATTTGGAATGGAATTTAGGCACTGCAGCATATTGTGATTCCTCATTTTTAAGTTCATTTTTCAGATATGTTCATTGTAGACTGAAATCCCAATCATTTTTGGTGGACTATTAGCTTCCTAAACAAATTGACACACTTGAAACTGACTAGAGTGCTAAATAATGAGCCAATAGTTAGCAAGTAGTGAGAAGTATCTGTTCAGAGTCATTACTCTTCAGACAATACCAGTCTCCAGGGAGGCTGTTTCCTCCATGCTTGATTAACAGTCCTTCTTCTGAAGACACAGAGCACAGCAAGAAGAGTTTTGTTTCCCTTTCAACAGAATTTTATTAGGATATTGTAGATGTAGATTTAGTTTTAAACATAGTTTTTTTCTGGTGGGATTGGTTTTGTTTGGGCTTGTTTGGTTTTTGGTTTTGGGTTTTTTTGGGTTTTTTTTTGTCATATGCCCTGTTCTTCAGTCAACAGATTATTGTAGAATAAAGATGCAATTTGAAAAGAGAGATTTAAAATATTTCTTTGTCATGATAAAAAGAGACAAACATGCATAATCTACTGAATGATCTTATCTATCTGCATATCAATTAATTCTGTCCTTCAAAGCATCTTAATTTGTTTGGTATAAAAGTAATAAAGATGTAGTTCTCGGCCTGCACATGAAAATGTGTTTAATTAGACTGGTTTACTCTGCAATCCAGATACTAATGCAGTATTAGACAAAATATCATGTGGTTTTTTTAAAAAATCAGTGGGATTCTTTATGTGAAGTGTTTTGTTCTTTTTATTTATGCATGTGCCATCACTTCTCCCACAATCCTTTTGATTTCAGATAAATCCTTTGCAGAGCCCTTTCCAGAAAGGATTCTGCTAAGAGAACTGACCCCTTCTGTCAATTGAATAGATTTAGGTACACACAATTAAGAAATTTGAAAATACTTATAGTTTAATAAGCAGATTGGACATTGCAACTTTTTAATTGAGAGGTTTATATAATAGAATTGTGGCCCATATTTTTATACTACTTGAGAACAAGAAAAACATGTAGAATAGTCCTCAAAGTTTAAAATTCTGCTTAATTTCTTCTTGGACACAATATGTTCAGTATGTCACCTATAATTAGTCTATTTTTTTTTA